ACAGAGTGAGACCAACTCAAAAAAAAAAAAAAATCTTCCAGCTGTCAAATTGCTAGATCAAATTACTAGGGTGGATGGTTTGGAAAAAAGTACACAACTGCTTTTGGCCTCCTCCAACCCAGTTTAAAGGATGAGAGGAAAGCACCCTGCCTGTTCTGCCTCTACAATGAGATTTTATTGTTTTTTTGTTTGTTTGCTTGTTTGTTTTCACTTAAGTGCATCTGGAGAAACGTTCTGCCAGAACTTTTCTGAGATAATTGGACTACTGGGTAAAATTTGGAGCTTTATGGGTCATTGCCATTTGCCTGTGCCAAGAAATGAAGACTTTGAGAGCAAGAAAGCAGTTATAGTACATAAACTGCTCGTCTGTTTCTAGTGGTCACCTCTCATTTCTGAGACTAGATCTTTAACCCTTTGCACTCCGAGACATCTTGCAGATGACCTATTGGCAACTCAACCACACTTTTTTATGAAATAGTGAAAACAAATCACTTTGTGTTAAATAGTATAACAGTGGGACCAATTTTTTTATTCTAATGATATTTGACTATTTGACTTATAATGGGCTTTTGGACATTGAGGAGCTTATTTATGACCAAAACAATCAAAATTTTATATATTTTTCTAATGTGTGGTAACGTGTGAAACAGTCATAGACATGCATTGTTAGGTTCATTGATACATGTTGTGCAATAGTTAATTTGTTTAATGTCTTCCCCTGGTGGTTTTCTATTTGAGGAGACAATGTAGTCTCGTTTTCATCCTCTTACAGTAGTAAAAAGTAATTTATTGCTGAGTCTATAGTTCAAAATCATTGTGGAAGGATATTCTTTTTCTGGGTAATACATGCTATTTTTTTTTTTTTTTTTGAGTTGGAATCTCACTCTGTCACCCAGACTGGAGTGCAGTGGCCGCTCCCGGCTACCACAGCCTCAACCTGCTGGGCTCCAACGATCCTTCCGCCTCAACCATCCCAGTAGCCGGAATTACAGGCATGCCCTACCACGCCTGACTGATTTTTTGATTTATTGTAGAGATGAGGTCTCGCTGCCCAGGCGGGTCTCGAACCCGCGGGCTCAGGCAATCCACTCACCTCAGCCTCCCAAAGGCACGGGATTACAGGCTGAGCCACCGAGCCCGGCTAAGCTAATATTTTTTACATATATGTCAGTATATATTCCAACTATATTTTTTTTGTGTAATTCGAATGGAAAACGTCAAGGAAACATACATCTTTGAAAAATTTGCACTAGTATAGCTTTGTCCTGTATAATCTCTTGATGTCTGCTCACAGGGGACATCTGAGTGCAAAGGGTTAATAGATGTGTACACACTAGTTAGTGACTTAAGCAGGAAGCTCATCAAGCTGGCTTCACACAAACCAGTTGGTTTACATTTAACTTTGTGAGGTCTAGCAAAAAGCCTTGACCTCTAGTCCAGGCAGGCCATGGGTCAGATACCTTTTTGTTATAATCTCTACTACAAAATAGTAAAATTTGTTTGTCATCTTAGGGTCTGGAACGGAATCTGACAGTGATGAATCAGTACCAGAGCTTGAAGAACAAGATTCCACACAAGCAACCACACAGCAAGCCCAGGTGGGTATTCACTTATGAGCTGGTGTAAGTACTTGGGTCAAGGAGGCAGGGTTTATCGGGGTGATTTGTATATTTGAAACTGAACCTTAATAAAGGAAAAATCACATGAAAATCGTTGTAGCCACACTTTAGGATCCATTTAACTTGTAGCTGTTTTATCATAGCTGGCAGCAGCTGCTGAAATCGATGAAGAACCAGTCAGTAAAGCAAAACAGAGTCGGAGTGAAAAGAAAGCACGAAAGGTAGGGTTTTTAGCTATAAGCAAGGATTGAAGATTCTGGCGAAGCAATTTTATAACAAGTAGACTATGGCAGAAAACCCGAGAGTTCTGAAAACTGGTTCTTTTTTTTTTTTTGAGATGGGGACTCTCACTGTGTTGCACAGGCTATGTTCAAACTCCCACAAACCTGGGAAAAGGCTTTGCTTTGGATGTGTTGTTTCTTTCTTCTTGAAGCTGCTTTTTGGGGGTGGGGGGTTCTGAGTCTCTCACTATCACCCAGGCTGGAGTACAGTGGCACTCTCAAAGCCACTGCAGCCGTAACCTGCTAAGTTCAAACAATCCTTTCGTTTCAGCCTTCCAAGTAGTTGGAACCACAGGTGTGCACCACCACACCCAGCTAATTTTTTAATTTATTGTAGAGATGAGGTCCCACCAAGTTGCCCAGGCAGGTCTCGAACCCCTGAGCTCAGGCAACCCTCTCAGCTCTGCCTCCGAAAGTGCTGTTATTATTACAGGCGTGAGCCACTGTACCCAGCCTTTAAACTGCTTCTAAAGAAGTTGATAACCTGATGTTCTTTTTGATTCTTTAGGCTATGTCCAAACTGGGTCTTCGACAGGTTACAGGGGTTACTAGAGTCACGATCCGGAAATCTAAGAATATCCTCTTTGTCATCACAAAACCAGATGTCTACAAGAGCCCAGCTTCAGATACCTACATAGTTTTTGGAGAAGCTAAGGTGAGTGAAGTTTTCTTAGGGGAGGGTTACTCTAGACCAGGGTTTCTCAACGTCGATGTACTTTGTTGCAAAAGACTAGCCTTTAGCCGGGCGTGGTAGCGTGTGCCTGTAGTTCTAACTACTTACAAGGCTGAAGCAGAAGGATCGCCGGAGCCCTGCAGGTCGAGGCTGCGGTGGCCGGGAGCGGCCACTGCACTCCAGTCTGGGCGACTGAGTGAGACTCCAACTCAAAAAAAAAAAAAAGACTAGCCTGTGCATTACAGATGTTTAGCAGCATCACATCCAGTTGTGAAAACCCAAAACATCCCTCCTGGAAAACATTAACCCCCGAAGGTTATTTGAAGCAGATTTAGAATCAGAGTTCTGAACAGATATATAGGATTTCTTTTGCAATTGCTGCAGACCAATCTGCTTACATGAACCTGTATTTTCTGCCCTATAGATCGAAGACTTATCTCAGCAAGCACAGCTAGCAGCTGCTGAGAAATTCAAAGTTCAAGGTGAAGCTGTCTCAAACATTCAAGAAAACACACAGACTCCAACTGTACAAGAGGAGAGTGAAGAGGAAGAGGTATACCAGGAAATCTTTTCTGTTTTTAATTCTATGACAATGTTTTGGTGTGTGGCTTTCATATTATTGTAGGCTTTCAAACCCCATTGAGATAAGACTTGTTAAGTTATATTTAAAACTGAATTCAAGAGACTCTAGCTCCAAAAATTATGGAAGTTGTTCTTGCCTTTATTTCAGGTTGACGAAACAGGAGTGGAAGTCAAGGACATAGAACTGGTCATGTCACAAGCAAATGTGTCGAGAGCAAAGGCAGTTCGAGCCCTGAAGAACAACAGTAATGATATTGTAAATGCTATTATGGTACGTGTCAGAGCCTTTATTTCTTGGCGCCTTCTCCTGTGGTCAAATATGAGTGATTTTTTTCTTGAAAGCAGGACTTATTAAGAGGACAGAAAAGCTCCCCCATTGGGAAGGGACCCGAGGAGGAAACCCTAAATATGAGTGGCTTTATTCTCTCTGCTGAATATCAGCCAGTTGGGAAGCCTCATTCTCAGTTGCCTTAGGTTTAGTGACCTCCATTCTCCCAATTTGCCTGTAAATAACTATCCCTAATTTTATCTTTTTTCTCTTACAGGAATTAACGATGTAACCATCTAAAATGACCTTTTTTTGGTGATTCAAAAGAGACCTACAGCTTGGTTTGAAATTTGTACTGTTTCTATCATTAATAAAGTTATGGCTTCTTGTTGGATGAACTCAGTGGGCACTTGGACTCTTTTCTCATACAACTGAACCAGCAGTCAAGGAACAGTTCTGTGGAAGACAATTTTCCACAGATGAGGGGTTGCAGGGGGGAATCATCATGCATTAGATTCTCACAAGGAAGGGCAAATTGGATCACTTACATGTGAAGTTCACAGTAGGGTTTGCCCCTAGGAGAGTCAAATGCTGCCGCTATCTGACAGCAAGTGGACCTCTGCTTGCCAGCTCCTCGGCTGCTGTGTGGCCCAGTACACAGTCCCAGGGGCTGGGGACGCCTGCTCTGAACTAGAGTCAGGATGCATATTAGGGCTTATCTGGCTTCTGTGAGAGGGAGTTGGCATTGGTTGACATTGGTGTACAGTTGAAAAGAGTGGATGTGGGAAAAGAGGATGCACTTGAAGGAGATAAAAAGCTGTCCCAGCCGGGCTTGGTGGCTCACCTGTAATCCCGTGCTTTGGGAGGCTGAGGTGAGTGAATTGCATGACCCCGCGGGTTCGAGACCCGCCTGGGCAACTTGGCAAGACCTCATCTCTACAATAAATCAAAAATCAGCCGGGCGTGATAGCACGCACCTGTAATTCCGGCTACTCAGAAGGCTGAGGCTGGAAGGATCACCGGATCCCAGTGAGTCGAGGCTGCGGTGGCCGGAAGCGGCCACTGCACTCCAGTCTGGGCGACAGAGCGAGACTCCAACTCAAAAAAAAAAAAGCTGTCCCATGAAGAGGAAGATTTTTGCTGCAGTGTAAAATTTCTGCTCTTAAACATGTACAGACCCTTTAATATACAGAATAAGTTATGACTGGTTAGCCATAAATACACTAGGACAGTATGTGAAAACCAAAACTGTTCAGGCAAACTACAATATAATGGTTTACAGGTGGGATATAGATAAGAATTTGAAGAAAAACGTTTGAGTTAGGATTGTCAGAATGGTTTGGAGGCAAGCGGAGGGCTAAAATTGAGAGATGGGAAGGATACAAGCAAATGATCTTGGTTTTTTATAGAATTCAGTCTTTCAATTTCTATAAGAGTACCCATCATTTTAGATGTGAGCCACCACAGTCGGCTGTTCATCTCTTAAAAAAATAAAGCCAAGGCAAGGTGGCTCACACCTTTAATCCCAGCACTTCGGGAGGCTGATGTGAGAGGATTACTTGAGCTCAGCGATTTGAGGCCAGCCTGGGCAACCTGATGAGACCTCACCTCTACAATAAATTTTTTTTTTTTTTTTTTTTGAGTTGGAGTCTCACTCTGTCGCCCAAACTGGAGTGCAGTGGCCGCTCCCGGCC